TTTGATGCGTTTAGGACAATTATGGTTTTCCATGGTAGCCTACTCTGAATTGGACCCTCCTTGATTAACATTGGATTCATTTGTCACAGGTCTACAACTTAATCTGAAGTTCACCATTCTACCTCTTGTTCCTCAACTAAAATATCCTCAACTAAGGTGGTCTAATGGCTATAGTGCACTGACAGGCTCGAAATAATGAGCGTATACCACACAGGTTTTATAGGCTGTCCTAAATATATTTTTGCATTTTAAATGACAGTAAATAAGGGAAACAAACCCGTAACTCAAATATGATTGCCTTAAGATTAGGAACTAATTGCTTTTGGGTTGGTGGAGACCTAGGGAAAATAAAGCAAGGAGGACTTGCCGGAGTTGTACAATGTGTCTGTCTAAAGACGAGTCTTAAAGAGAGCAATGAGAGCACACACGCTTCCAACAAGTCATTCTGAACAGCTACAAGCCCAACAAAAAGACCACACACCGCGCCACAGACATGGTAATAATGTAAGCTTGAGCCTCTCAGAGCTCTTCCTGAACAAAACCACACCAACAAATACCTAATAGAACGCTGTTCTGTTCTATCTGATGCTGCAAAGAGGTCGTTTGAAAATGTCCCGAATTCTCACTAAGTTAAAGTTTTAGGGAAATGGTAGGACTTTAGAACTATAGTACCAGATCACAATAAAAAATAGTTATTGAGTTAGCAGACAGAGGATTTAATCTCTTTGGAAATTGAAGAAGTTATGGAAATTTTGGGATTTATCTCTTATAATAGGGCTATAGTCATAATTCCATGTATGTATGTGTGAAATATTCAGACTCATTTCCATTCCGTGAGCTGCGTTAATGGGGTCAAATCATGTGCTCCAGTGTGATCACTGAGTAGTAGCTCTATATCAAATAGCCTCTACAATGTATTGCAATGGACAATGAATATGCATGTATTTTCTCAATCAATTAAAACCTATAAAGTATTGATACAATTTTAATTTGCCTATATCATACTGGTGGTAGATGGGTCGATTAAACAAGCAAACTACATCAGTTTGCAGACAACGAAGTTCTCAATTTACGCCTTTTACGCATCTCACTATAGAACGAATATAGGACAGATGTTGGGTTGAAAATACGTCTTATACGGTTGACATTTTCATGGCAGGCAGCTATAGGCTGCCACAAAGACGAGATCTGATGCTTACAGGCAAGTAGGCAAAGGGGAAGAACAATGCTAAGGGTTAGAGGTTGCCGTATATAATATCAAACATCAAATTGGGATACCACAGAGCAAATAGGCCCTATACCCAGAATGCTAGAGGCTTGTACAATATCGTTTATATAGAAAATAATCGACGAAAAGCTCTATTGGTTGAATTATCCACTTTCAGTGAAAAGTAGAGCGCCATTACAATCAGTGCCTCATTAAAATCCTTGCACTGCTGCGCTTTGACGCAGGGTTACGATAGACGTCTGGTGCTCTGTTAATTCCGTTGCCTATTCCTGACATTCGATTAGTAGCCTATATTTCAATCAAATGTTAGTCTATTCGTGAAGTCCTAAAATCTCTATAACAATGCTTATTCAAAACAATATTTAACGAGATAAAGTGAACGGTGTAATGCCACTGGGCACACACTGGTTGAATCAACGTTGTTTCCACGTAATTTCAATTTCAATTAAATTACGTTGAACCAACGTGGAATAGACGTTGAATTGACGTCAGTGCCCAGTGGGATGGGACGTCTAACTGAGGCAATAGATGTACCAGCGACTAGGTTACAGACAGGGCAACCTCACTGCACCTGTGCCATAATGGTGCAGCGGACGTAATGGAAAGCTGGCTACACTAGGCTATTCACCTTCCCTCGAAGAAAGCTCTCGCTCAAAAACCCCATGGCGACCAAAGGCGTGCTTCCAACAATGGCTTTCCATAGCCCAAAGCTGCAATGTAGCCAGGATGGGGCAAGTGCATGCACAACCACCTGTGTGTCATTAGTCTTATCAAAATCAATAAGCTATATTGAAACTCTGTTAATATTCCCTTTAGGTCAAATGCACGGTATTGAAAATAGCGTTGCACTAAATTTGAAGTGTTTAGCATTGGTTGGCATGAGTCTGAAATGCTGATGATGTAGGATGTTTACTTGTTTGAAGTGTAACTCTTGTAAGAGCTCATTAAAACATAATAAACGCGTTTACAACTATACTTCTCTCCACTTGACAGAAGTGTTTGAGGAGAGTTTTATATTGCTCTTCATATGTTTGCACAATCTGCTGCTTGAGTCAGCCTTTTGATAATTGGTAAAAGACGATCTCATGATTTCTGTCAAGTTTCTCAAGTTTACGTATAAATATTCTAAAGATCATAAAGTAAATATCATGTCATAAGTAACGCATGAAATAAAGAGAATATAGTGTAACCGTGGGCGTCATATATCATACTGACATATTTATTGTGCGGTTAAGACTAAAGTATTTTGAAAGAGCCCTTTGGGTCGTTGTTCCATCGCTTAGCATTTGCAGGAGGGAGCACGTATAGGCTATTTTGACATAGCCTTATCAAACAAGTAATTATATAATAATAATAATAGCCTAATCATAAAGACTGCAAAATACTTGCAATTCCCATAATATCACAGTAATAAATCATATTAATATTAATAATGTTAATAATCCATACCAATATAATATCATACTATTAGTTGCAGGAAGTATGTTACATCAATGTTATTAACAGCTAAATTACAAGACAACACACAGCTAGTCCTTCCACACTATGGACCTATGGGTCCGTCTCACACAATTCATTTGAAATGTACCATTTATATACTGGAGTATGTTTAAACCTTTTCGAATCAATTAAGAACCGCAAAATCTCTGGCCCACGGCATGCAAATTATATGACACGCTAGAGCCAAATGCATGAACGTACTCAGTTAAAATAATATCCTATTTGATAGGTCTAGATTTAAGTCTCCATCCCTCAAATTACATTACACTCCAAAGTGCAAGGCTGGCCAATTCATATAATTTATTCAACATGTTTACATTAAAGTTTGCAAAAAATATATTTGGTCATAAAGAGGCTATAAGAGAACCGACTGGGCACAGACATCAGTTCAACATCTAGTTTTGATTTACATTTGGTTGAGTTGTCAACAAACGTGAATTCAACGTGAAATCAACAAAAAATGTTCTATGTCATTGGATTTAGGTTAAAAGTTGGATGCAAAAATACGAAATTCCCTTAAATTGATGACTTTTTGCAAATCCAGGTTTTCCACGTTGATGTATGTCATCACATTTAATTTTTTGGTTGAAATGATGTGGAAACAACGTTGATTCAACCAGTTTTTGCACAGTGAGAAACAGTGATCAAGACCTATGTGCTATGGATTTAGAACAATTAAGTAAAATTTGTAGGCTATCCAAAGTTTTTGGTACAAAGCCTATAGGTTCAAAGCGACTTATCAATAGGCCTACTACGTAAAGATTATGGGCACGCTATTTTCCTTTCAATCCCAATTGACTGATTGATTATTGATAAACTTAGGCCTACCTCTGATAAGAAGCGAAGAGATTTGTCTTGCGAAGTTATTTGAGAAGAATACATTTATTTGGGCAGGGATTTGAATGATAAGACTTCCTTTCAGTCAGCGCGTGTTTGATCTCCACTGTTAAAAAGAACGCCTCGAGGCCTCACCTAACTGACTCACCCAAACCAGAAACAGAAACACACAGGCGCGCAGCGGAGAATACAAGAAAGCTAGAACCAAAGGGCCGCGGACGGCACACAATGGCCTGGCCTGGGTTTACTCAGCGTTATCCAAGTGAGATAGTGTGTACACAATTATCCATTAGCTTAAAATACGATTTGTGAAGAGCCGCGTTGTGTAGGGACGGCCACAGAGATCCATGGACCATATTACTCACAGTCGTTGATTGTAGCTATAATAAACGTGACCAAAATGCCTGGAATTGGGGTCGAGCTCTTACATGCTAAAGTTAGCATTAGGCTAGCAATGTAGGGTAGCCCACCAAGCAAGCATATTGTAACAGCGATTTTGATCACACCTGGTCAAGGAAAAGGTTTTCATTAGTCATGCATTGCTTAATGTGTGCAGTTAACGTTGGTTAGCAAGATAGCAAAATAATGTCGGTATAAATTGAGGCCTACTGAATTGACAAGCTAAAGTGGGCTATAGACACTATCACATAATCATGATAATAATAATAATAATAATAATATGATGATGATGTTGTTAATAGGCCTATATAATTTGTCAATAATTTGTCAAGGTTTCTCGTAGGCCTATGTATTCTTCTCTGAAACAGTATACACAACAATTTCAATAAATGGATCTGAATTATTTTATTTCCATAATTTATTAATAGGATTGTTTGGCTGTATTTAAGTAAAATATCTATATAAGTTACAAGTAAATAAAAAGTACAAATACCGATAGAACACAAAGAACCAACAACAACCCATCAAAAGCATAAAAACTTTGTACAACAGATTGCTAAAAACTAGGCTATATATTCAATTCAAACCTTATACAGTAATATACAAGCTACGCTTTACATTAAATCTATTATAAACCAGAGCCTTCTGTGATAAAAGTTGAAAAGCACCCACAGAGTTTTTCTATTGAGATCTTTAGCCCAATGACCTACACACAGGAGAAGGCCTACCTCGATGTAAGCCTTGTATACCTTCTCAGTATAATTTACATAAATAACTCCACCTTCAAAGCGAGGGTTGAACTCGCATGTACTCAAAACTTCGTCTTTCAAGTTTCTTTCTTCTCCTCCTGCTGTCCGCATCTAACATGTCTTTCCAAAAGAGTAAATTACATTTTAGAAGAGCGTGAACCAAATGCACCAAATGGTGTTGTTCAAAATGTATACAAAGTAACCGAGTTTGTTTGTCTGTTGAGGGACTTTGCTGCAAAAGCTTTGACAACAGTGTTGTTTGTTTGTGATCATAGTTTGTCTTGCTGTCACCATGTCCTGCCGTATAAGAGAGCAGAACACTGCAGGGCTGTCCCGTACTCGGCGCTGGATGAGTTCAGGTGAGAGAGACTAGCTACCTGGGTCTGGAGAGACGGCGGGCTGGCCGAATGATGTGCTAGGTCTGGAGAGTGACCTGCACTAACCACCTGCTGGCCCTGGTGCTGGCCTAGGCCTGAACCATTACTGGACATGATCATAACATTGGCCCCTTGCTGGTGGTGGGTCTGGACAGTAGTGGTTGGAGTGTGGGCACTGCCTTGGCATGGCTTGCCGTCTTTCACCAACACCGGCACGGCCACCCGCCGAGGGGACTGCTGCTGACAGGTACTACTCTCCTGTTGCATCTGCTGCTGCGACACTTTGTCCTTAGCTTGCCTCTTCATTTTATACCGGTGGTTCTGGAACCAGATTTTGACCTGGGTCGGGGTGAGGTGGATCATGCTCGCCAGGTGCTCTCTCTCGGGCGCCGAGAGATACTTCTGTTGTTTGAATCGCCGCTCGAGCTCGTAGACCTGAGCCTGAGAGAACAGCACGCGCCTCTTCCTTCTTGGGGTGCTAGAGAGCGGGCCCATGCCTTTGCCCACATCCGCGAGGGAGCCGAGGCTGCCCATACTGCCCATACTGCCCATGTTCATGCCCGAGGAAGAGCCCATGAAGCGGGAGACTGAAAGCAGAAATAGGCCAGTGAGATAATTATGATCATGATAACAATAATAATAATGCTATTATTATAACGCTTCAATACTTATAACCATAAAATAATAATACACAATGTGAATTAATTTATTTTAAAACGTGTAGGAATATGACCCAATTAGTAGCCTATTTGAACTGAATTATATAGTTTATATATTTAGTATAAATATAGTTTAAATATTTTAAATTATATGATTGATTGCCATTAATTTACCTTGCAATCTGATGAATAATAGGTTAATAACTCATTCGATACACCCCCCATGACAGCTGCATAAAACCTCTGTAGGCTACTCACAATAGAGTAGAAACCAGCAACAGGTGTCTGTGTTATATCTTTACAGACCTGAGGGACAATAATCTTAAATCAATTAGATTAGTAGAAGCATCAATCTTGACCGCGGGAGCCTAAATTTATCATAAACGAAAAAGTTAAGGACATTTTCAAGGTAATGTCAGCTTTCTTTGAAACATGTTCCTAACCATTGGTAAACATGACATTGGTAGACTGGCAAAAAGGCACAGAATGGGTCACTAAATTGGGTGATCAACAATTAATATACCTAACACTCCCTCTTAGTGAAACAATAGCCTATCAGTATTCATGCAAAAACTCGAAACAACACCAAAGAATTTGACTAATTTCTATGACTAATTTCGGCTTCATGCAGACTAAAGGTATACTTACTCGTGGAGAATCGCGGGTCTGTGTTGGCTCCGTACCAGCCGGTGGCCGTGGAGCTGCCTCTCATACCGTCCTGGTAGGGCGGCAGGTCGCTCATGTTCCCCAGGTTGCCGTTACAGTAGCCCCCCATCGCGGTGTGTGACAGCTGGGACACCCCTGCCGCCGTCATGTGGTACGCTGCGGACACAGTCCCGTTATGGCCCATGTGGTGCTGCTGCATCGCCGCCTGAGACACCTGCGGCTGCCGGTAAGACGCGAGAGGTGCCCCTAAGTTGTTATTCTCCATACTTACTTTCTTGTAGCTCTCCTCAAGAGGACTCAAGATATCGGAAACAGAAAAAGGAGTCGTATGCTTAGGGCTCATCGACATTGTTCTGGGGCTGGTGGAGAGGGGAGAAATTAGAAGGCTAGGCAATCTCTCCTTCTGTTTTTTTTGGGGGACCAAAGCCCCTCTCTCTCTCTCTCTCTCTCTCTCTCTCTCTTTGGTTCCTGTTGACTCAACGTCGATCCTTGCTAGATGAACACGTAGGTAGGAGAGTCGACTGAAGTCCGCCTTAATTGCATTGAGTGGGAGCTGAGCTGAGCTGGGCTGAGCTTGGTGCTGCTGGCTTTCGTTTGTTTTAGCAGGGTGCCAGGTTTAAGCCTAGCATCAGAGGCGGGGCATCACCAACCAGGGCAACAATACAAAGCAGCTCTATCCTCGTCTCCTTTCAACCTCGTTGCACCCAAAGGCATAATTTGACTTACATGTTGGCCAAGCTACAGCATGCGCTCTGCAGCTCCCCTCCCACAACTCCATAAACCAAAGTGCATGCATATAGTCTACATGTGTATTATAGGCTATTGATAGTAGGTAGGCTACTGTAGTAGCAGTAGGTAGGTGGGTTTGTTGTGTTGTGGTTGGCAAACATGCAGCAGTATAATGACAGCAGTGGGCACAAGCACCACAATGCACTTTATTAACTGTAGTGATGTTTACGAGGACCTCTTGATGAAAAGGGGCCTAGACGGACTTGAGAGTCTCAGAGCTGGGGAACCCACCCTGACTACTTCCCAAATGGCACCCTATTCCCTATTTAGTGCACTTATTTTGACCATGATTCACTGCTGCCGTTTAGAACACAGGCTCTGTTCTCTGAGAAAAGCTTGAGTTGAGCTAGTTACTTTTAATGGGCGTAAGAGGCTTCTGGTTGATTGCAGACGTGTTTGCATTATGTTCGCATCTTACTCAACCATGCAAAAGTGCACTTTCTCTCTGCGACAAGGGAGGAAAATTGACGGATAAGTAAATAAATACACATCCGCGTGTTAAGTGGCAGCGCGTGAATGATTAACCCCTTTTCTATTTGTTATCATTGGTTGGGCGCGAGGAGAGAGCAGCGTGTCGCCCCAAAACCAAATTCGGATGCTCCACTTGTCTCGTCATCTCAGATCAGATAGCCATGCAGCCGGTCAAAAGAAAATGCGTTTCAGGAGAGGCTCTCAGGTAAAGTTAACGGCGCTCAAGTACCTGTACTCTCCTTCTGCAGCAGTAGGCAGGCAGGGAGAACCACACCACACCACGCCAGATAGCACTCCTCAGTGAGCCGCCTCTCGCCCTGATGCTGAAGGAGCCATAATGGTCTAACTCAATCAGGTTTCACTGCTCATGGATGCGTAAAAGTCAAATGTGCTTAGTTTCCCCCTTCACCTTTCCAATGAAAATTGAGACTACAGGGCAAGGCCGCAGTCCTGGCATGACCATAGTCTCGCGCGAATTCTATTTTGCTGTAGTTGGAGTTACATGCGCTATGATCAAAGGCCAGTGTTTTGCTCACTTTATTAAAGGAGCATGACAAAAATATTATATCAAAATAAATTGAAGGAAGTAGGCTAATTGTAGCCTATAACTTTCCATTATTGAGGACATTGTACATTGAGGTGGGTGGAATACAATAACAATAATAATAATAATAATAATAATAATAATAACATGGTTAATCAATATGTTTGTTTGAATTGGCTGTTTGTTATTGTTTTGTTATTGTTTTAAACATTTGTAAACTATTTTTGTTGTTACTGTAAGTAGCCTAACGTCTCTCTGATTTTGGTTGCTGTTATATTATGTTATTAAGTTACCTTTTTAATTTGGCTACAAAGACCAAATTATGCCCCTTGCATGAATTTCTTATCTCTCATTTGCGTTTTCATAAACATTGTCTTTATACATGCTTTGTTTCATATTTAATATTTATGTAAGGAACAAATAAAATAAAATAAAAACCTAAAGAGAGTAGATACACTTTTATACCTTGACACTCCACAACATACAAAACTCACCTAACTAACCCAACATTAATGATATTTAATCATAACTATTATAATTGTTAGAACTATTATAATGATTATGAAATTAAACTATATCAACAACAATAGTCCTGTTAATAGAAACAGCAATAATAAAACGAATACTACACATACGGTTATCACTATTACTAATTTCTTACTATTACTACTAGGCTACTAATAATAACGTCATTATTACTGTAACGGTGTTATCGTTGTTGTCATCATCTCCAATAGGCTTTTCAAAATACATTGGTATGACAGTCAGAGGGCATGGCCTAGTGTATGCGGTTGTGGAAATTAATTGGTTAGGATATAGTATGATGGCCTAAGATATGTTGGATGGATTTATACATTTCGGAGTGCAAAGCAAGACATCTGATATTGCTATTTACCTGATAAATACCTGATCAAAAATGTAATTTCCAAGATATTTAGGAAATTACAGATGGAAATAGTTTGGTAATGTGCAGTCCTACTTTCAATGTTTTGTCCTTACTGCAGTGCATGCTGGAGATAAATATATATCTTTACAAACGACAAGAAAACATCCCTTGATGTGATGTTGAACAGAACACATCGATGAATGCAGGAAAGCAGAACAAACAGTCCCCGTGTTGATAAACCTATATCGTTTGGATATCGTGGTCCTGGACATACATTGGATTGAAGAAAGACAGCAAGACAGCGTCTTCTGGTGGCTATTATGAGAAATACGTATTGAATAGATGTATAGTATCGGTGGTTTTCATTTAGACAGTTTAGTCTCGTTTTATCACAAGTTTGACAAAACTGCCGTGGTCACATCTATTTCAAACAAACCAGAGTGATAAGACGCATGGTGTCACTTCTGGTTGCATTAAACCATTACGCATAGTGTAAAATGGCAATAATATTTCATCACAATAACACTTGTGCCCGATAGAGGAAACAAGTGGGAATCTTTTGATTATCCCTCTTTGTTTGCTGACTCCAAGCTCTGAGCATAATCGTGCGTAATATCACTTTTACGCGCAAATCTCTCATTGCTATTTATGCGTTAAAAATGAATTACGCCTCATCTTAGCTCATTGGTCACCATAGCAACACCCACCCGTAGTATGCGCTCCAGCAGGTATATCTCACTGGTCATCCCCAAAGCCAACACCTCCTTTGGCCGCCATTCCTTCCAGTTCTCTGCTGCCAATGACTGGAACGAACTGCAAAAATCTCTGAAGCTGGAGACTCTTATCTCCCTCACTAACTTTAAGCATCAGTTGTCAGAGCACCTTACCGATCACTGCACCTATACACAGCCCATCTAAAATTAGCCCACCCAACTACCTCATCCCCATATTTTTATTTATTTTGCTAATTTGCACCCCAGTATCTCTATTTGCACATCATCTCTTGCACATCTATCATTCCAGTGTTAATACTAAATTGTAATTATTTTGCACTATGGCCTATTTATTGCCTTACCTCCATAACTTGCTACATTTGCACACACTGTATATATATTTTCTGTTGTATTTTTGACTTTATGTTTTGTTTACCTCATATGTAACTCTGTTGTTGTTTTTTATCGCACTGCTTTGCTTTATCTTGGCCAGGTCGCAGTTGTAAATGAGAACTTGTTCTCAACTGGCTTACCTGGTTAAATAAAGGTGAAATAAAATTTTAAAAAATCAGGATTCTACCCAAAGTGAACCACAGCAACACAAAACAGTTTCCACGACAATTGGTTCCATAACTAATCTACATGATTATTCAACAAATTCATCCCAATATCAACATCTTCTCAATGACACTATAAATCACAACATGCAAACATTTGCATACATTGCCATAGCTCACTTCTTCACCATTATTATTTAATTGAGGTCAAGGAGAAGTGCATTTTACAAGAAACAATATAATCTCATATCCCTAGATGCTCTCAATAAATAATTTCTCTACGACAGGTGAGCGCACCTTACAGTGATAATTCAGCTGTTCCACATGCAATTACGGGCAATTAGCATCATAACACGTTTCCTCTGGCATATATGCCTTCCTTAATTGCTGAATTTCAAAAGGATTTCTCAATTATCTAAATCAGGACCTCTTTTCTGTTCTAGAACACGGCTATTATGGTCAATTAACATTCATTAGTCAACATGTTCGCACTAATTTCTCTGGAATAATGAGGAGACTTTGAAGTGGCGCGTGGAGGGGGCACCGAACCTTTGTTCCTGGTTCACATTGTTTGGGCACTGATCGTTCATGAGGCGTCATGCTTCCACTGAAAACGAATATCAAGAAAGGACCTTTTCTCATTTGGGCAAAATTTCGTCCTCCACCCTCTCTCCTCCGTGACCCTGAAACCGATAAGTGGTCGAGGAGATGTCAATTCCTTAGTAGGCGAATGGAATAGAGAGAACATTGCCTTTTATCAATTACATTTGCTCACATCCTGCGTCCTCTCTCCTACGTCCTCTCTCAAATCCTTTTGAAAAAAGTCCAAGTTAATAGAGGAGAGTTGGCGAAAAGAGTGAACATGGATGGAAATGCGCTTGCTTGAAATGAGATAGAGCATCATTAGGCAAATGACGTTTAAAGGGGTGGTTCCCAAAATAAAGGTGTAAAGTGCAACAAAAATGGACATGGGTGGTACATGACCCCCCCACATACTAAAATTGCATTTTTGTCCCCCCCCCCCCACACACAGTTTTATCATTGCACTGTAATACAAAAGGGCCGTCACCGTGCTTTAAGACCATGCTGAAGTCTCAGAGCGGTAGGGTAGGCTGTTTGGCGGATTCAGCCAGCTGGATGTAGGACCAAAAGGACACCACAGAGCGTGTGGACAGGCTGTGTGAAGGCAAAGCTTCTGACCAGCATGGTGCTGCTGTCTCTGTGTGTTGGTTTTTTTCTCAGAGTTGTAAAAGCAAGCAGAGTATAAACGGGCTACTCTTCATTTGACTGATGTAGACGACAAGGTTACTGCTGTTTGACTTAACAGGGGGAAAAGTATTTATTCCCAGTGCTGAGCTAGTGTAACTGAGATGTAATTATAGCTAATGTTTCATCCCCTCTCGACTGAAGTGCTGTCTGAATTAACTAGCTAGCTAGCTAGTAGCTACCACAGCCAGTTAATCTCTAGCCTCTAGCTATCTGTCAG